TAAAAATTTATCAGAATAACTTTTATTTGTTGCATTTGCTACATATTGAAAAAGAACAGAAAAATGTTATATTCTAGTTAATTTCACCTTTGTTAAACATTTCCATAGTAGAAGACAGCATATTTTATTTACAATATTTTTGGCATATTGATGTATTCATAAGTATTAAGTATATGCATGATAACCAGTTTCTGACCTGCAAATAAATTTTATTGCATATGTAATGAAGTTAAATAAAATGTTGTTGTTGTGGCTTTATTCGGAAATCAATCCATTTACATCAAGCCACTCACCAAAAACAAAACATTAAATTTAAAATTGCATAACCAAATTATTAAAAACACTTAAAAATTACAGCACTAAACTTCAAGTCTTTGTAATACGAAGAAATTAAGACATAAAAATTTCACAATTTAAGTCTTAAAAATGTTCAGTGATTAGAGGAGAAGCAACTGTGTGCTCAGGACACATGATTCCTAGCTATCCAATACAGCAGGCGAACTTTTTTGTAACTTATTGTGTAACTTAGGATCAGTATCTAGCCAGATGAGCGAATGCTGTTTATCCATAGTGTCTGTTTCACGGATAGGACATTGGCTATTAGTTAGTATGCCTATTCTGCTGAGATGTTCAGCTAAGCAATCGTGCCCTGAATTAAAGTCTGAAATTAGCCACAATCTCACTATGTGGCCTGCGACTGAATCACTCAAATAATGCCTGATATTCATTCTTCCAGAGTTTAGTTCTCAGATATCTCATTTTATTTTTGACATAAGAGTAGGTTCAGAGTGGTTTTGAAGAGCTATCGCCTGCATGGACAACTTAGAATAAATAAGAATGACAGCCTTTGTAAAAAACTCAATTCTAGATATCAAATTAGAACAACTAAAATGACCATATGAACTTCTGCTTCAAATTAAAGAATGTAGTGTGAAAACAGTTTACAATATATACCTGCACCAACAGCATTGTTCATTCTAGAGCTATCTGAAATACATGCATTCATTCTTATTTAGAATAGTTACTGCCCAATAGTGGCAAGGCACTTGTTTTCAGAATAATAGCTAGTGCGTCTTTTTTTTCTATTTTCGTACAGTTTTAAATTGTAGGGTATTTCCAAAAACTCCAGTGGGTTTATAAGTGTATTGTTATTTTCACCACGAATATTAAGGTTTAAATTGTCCAGAAGGCCTTCACAGATCTCGGCTAGAGAAGTTTTAAGTTCTAATTATAAGCCCATTTATATGTTTTGCATCCAGTTTGCCTGTTGAGATTTTAGTCTAGTAGCTGTAAAAAGTGCTTGTTTCTTTATCTCATTGGCAATCAGAGGGTTTGAAGTATAGGATATAGATATATAATCAGAGGGTTTGAAGTATAGGTGAAGTATAGGATTGTAAAACTTACTAGTGCTACTTAAAGTTGTTATTAGTGCTCCTGTGATCAAACGAAAAGCTTTCTTCTGGGCTCTTTCCAGGACTTTCAACTTGGTCTTTGCGGTCGAAACCAGAGTTTCACTGCCATATTTAAAACCTGGTTTTATATAGATATTGTAAGTGAGATTTAGAGTGTTCTCGGTGCAGCCCCATTTTGCGCAGGCTGTTTAAGATATGCAATCTTTTTTCGACTCTGATCACAGTTTGTCTGATATGCTGTAAAAAATTTAACTTACTGTTCATTATAAATCCTGAGGTATTTTGTCCTGCTACTTCCATTTAATTTTGTGTTATCCAAATATACATCAAAGTCAGGTACAACTATCAGGTTCAGTATTCTGCCTTACTTGCTTGGGGAACATTCAAGAACCTGACTCGGAACAGGGAGCTTACTAAAGCTATGTTCAATAAATGTGGGAAGTAGACAAGATACACAGGAAGGGTATACAAAAACCCTTTATTTTTCACTCTTTACAATAATAATTTTCCGGACTTCGGAATACAGAGACCAACCACTTGTGGTCTGAACGTAAGAATATAAATCTAAAAATATTAACTAAACTCTAACTTAACTTTGGAATAATAAACAAGGGCCTACATGGAAGATTGGCCGTATATTAACAGGGAGCCGTATGTAGTACAGAGAACTGTTAACACTACAATACGTTTAAAAATTATTAAGAGGATTAAACCTCTGGCCTGGAAGGCAAACAGCAACCGAGTAAAACTGCTAAGGCAAGCGGTCTGCTTCTACTAACTCCTTCCTCTCTCTCGCTTGGCAAAAAGCCACAACTTAAGTACTTGGTGTTCGCCAACAAATTTGCATAAATAAGTTAAAGCTTTTAATTCTGGCCGGAAGTAGAAAATAAGAAGTGATAGTAAAGATTTAAAATAAAATAAACGTTAGTAAAACTTAAGATCCTTACACAACATATCTCAAAGTAAAAAACTCATACATAGTTTTTAATTTATTGATGATCGAGAGATTGTCCATGGCCCAAGATTTAAAGAGCCACAAGAGCTTTATCCATATTACTCTCAAGTTGCTGTTTCTGTCTTTGATAGTTTTGACAATTACTAGTTTTCATCCATATTACTAGGTCATCAGGAAACAAGCTCACTTGGATATCTCCAACCTCTTTCAATCTCTTCTTTTCTTTGATCAGATCATTAACATAAATGTTGAAGAGTATGAAGCTACTCACTGAACTCTGTGGAGGGCCAATCTTAAACTGCCTGTAATTGGAGTCTATATTGTCCCATCTAATCCTAACCCATCTTTGAGAAAAGATTAAATAAAATAGCAGATGATAAAACGAAAATGGTGAAGGTAAAAATTTACTCTTATAAAAAAGAAATCTTTAAACTTTTGATTAGTATTCTTTATAAATTTAAAAAATAACTATTTATTTATTATTAATAAATATTTATTATACATCAGCAAAAAATTAGAATAAAGAAATTCATATGAATTATCTTCAACAAAAGTTGAGTATTTAAGGTTAAAAATAACTGTTGTAATTCATTGATGATTAAGTCTGTAAACCGCCGCATTTGTTGTTGCACTTATAACAAATATGCCAAATTTCAAAACACATCAGTATAAGAATTTATGTGTACCTTCAGAAATTTTAAATAAAAAACTATTAATTTTTTGTAGGTATGCCCAGAAATACATTTACTTTGATAATAATAAAAATTTCCGAAGTTAAATAAAAAAAAAAAATTTGAAAGTTTATAAAAATTATTTGGTACTTTTCCATTTAGCTGGCACAAATCTAGCCATGCAGACTTTATTGGTGGCAACATACAATGTACACATAAAAAATGTTAACAAATGTTAGTTCTAAGAGTTTTTTATTTTGAAGGCATAAGCATTTTAATATCGTTTAAAATTTCGTAAAAAGCAAATAAATAAAGACAATGAATTTGTAAAAAGACATTAAGAATTTATTATGCTTTCATGGTTCAACAAGCTTTGTCACTAGTTCATATCACGTGACCTCAAGTGATCTCATCTCACGTAAACTACGCTACAAAAATCTAATTCTCTCAGTAATGATCTACATTAATTTCGAGTGAAATCTTAATATGGAATACAAGTCTAAATGCAAGAATTAGTTCAATTCATACGAATAGCTTACTCATATTTTATGTAAAACCGCAGTGCGTTTACTCATTAGAATTAACGAATTTAACCCTTGCTTTTGTCTATATTTTCGCCTTCGGGTGAGCGGTGTGATTGAATCTTAATTGGCTTAATTACCGGGGATGGCCTTAGGTCACAAAATTGAGCTATCTGGTAAAAATTCTGATTTTATTGAGTATTGAAAGAAACAGTCAATCTGATAAGAAAATGGCTGCGACTTGTTTTGAAAGTGAGGCGTAAGGGTTACCAGCGAGGATATTCCATTTGGCATCAGTTGTAACATTATTGGTGACTTTAACGTGTGTGGCGGCAAAACAGAAAAGAACCACTTATTTTAATATACAAATTTTTATAATAAATTAAAAAATTGTGAATTTTGTTTGGATTAAACTTAAATATTTAATTATGAAAGAGTAAGTTAAGTTTAATATAAAAAGAGAGATTGTTAATGTATGCCAAAATCAGTTAATTTTTTGAATATTAATTAAAAAATAATAATAATAAAAAAAATCCTGCTGAGAATTTTGCAAAACTTGGTGCTTTGGCACAATTTGAGATATTGAATTGAAATATGAAAAAAATTGGCATGTCGTTATAGAAAAAGTCTGATTTTATGTCAAAATAGGTATATTAGAATAGTACTGCGTATAAATCTAAGATGAATATTTTAAGTCATGCTTTCAAGACATGGAAAACACTGTTTGAATTTTTTTAATCGGCGGAGTAGAAGGGAGATATAAGAGTGTCACTTTCTTTTCTGTCTTTTTTTTTTTCTTTCGTTCTTTTTCTTTCTTTTTTTTTTAAAGCTCACTCACAAAGTATGTGTATATTGAAAGATGTTAATGTAGTTAACAAGAAATTATTTAGACCATGTACAGGGAAACATCTCATTGCAATAACAGGTTTTTGTTAAAAAGTGAATGAACTTTGGAATAGTGATAAAATTTTATTAATCTAATGAAGAATAATATTAGATTTATTCAATCAAACAATAATACTAGATTCATATTTATTAAACAGACATGGAATTATTGAAATTCCAAGTAAATAAGAGCAGACTGCCAGTGTCTGTAAATGAAATTTTTATGTATCTATGAGTAACTGTGTAATGAAGATGCATTTTTGCCAAAATATGCTGAGAAAACATGTATGCAAAGTGTAGGATATTTTTATTGAAACATATATATACAGTTAAAGTTTTTTGAAATCAATTATAATTGAAGTATGAGATGAGAGGAATATATTTTCACTAAATTGATATTTTTTTATATACTTAAAAATTTTATTCATATTGTTACACAATTATAGTGCTTATTTTTTAAATAAATTTATTAATGTTTTGAATTTTATTAATATAAATTGTGAATTTAAACTATGAATTTACAAATTTGGTATTTCTTGCTTTCCTTTCCCCTTAGGTTTTTAAAAGATGTTAATAATCTTATAGTAGCAGATATGGGAGGGACTTTGTCCAATATCACTGGGAGTGGTGCAGTCATTGGAGCTGTCATACAGGCTTTTTCATCAATGATCAAAGTAAGCTGATGATAGTGCAGATTTTTTAAATCATAATTTGATTCATTCGTATATAAAATAAATATGTTAAATACTCCAAAATAGTAAACAAACAGGGATGATTTTGGTTACTTTAAAGTTTTAAGCAAAAATTGGTTTGCTGTTGCAAAAAGTAATTTATGCTCATCAAAATAAGTATAAAATAAGTACTCTAAAATAGTCAACAAACAGGAATGCTTTTATTTTCTTTTTCTTTAAAGTTTTTAAGGAAAAATTGGTGTGCCTTTGCAAAAAAAATTTTTGATTATTTGTAATTTATGCTCATCAAAATGAGTATAAAAATAAGTACTCTAGTATAGTAAGCAAATAGGAATATGTTTGGTTAGTTTAAAGTTTTAGGGAAAAATTAGTATGTCATTGCAAAAAGTTTTTGATTATTTGCAATTTATGCTCATTAAAATGGGTATGTTACTCTTTCCAGAATGAAAATTTTGGGTATTCGAAAAATTTTAAACATGATATATGCTTTTTATTATATTTAACGTGAAATAAATAATTTTCAAATAATTATATACTTTGATATTTTATGCAGATATAAACTGTTGTTAGCTTTAAGATTCAGTTATTTGATTTTAAAATTGTAGTTTCTTTTTTTTTTTTTCCGAAACAATCATATCATCAGATGGGAAAAACAGAAAATTATAATGTGGTATCAAAATAAGTATTCCATTTCTGAAACTTTGGTACTGAAATTAGTAATATCCTAAACAAAATTAATTATTATGAAAATATATTTTTGCACAAATTTTATTCCTCAAACTGTTTTTCAAAAGTATCACATTTTTTTCAGCTCAATTTCCTCATTGGCAAAGGTGATTTAAAATTGGGATGTATTTTTGCTTTAAACATAGGTGTGCTGGGTATTTTTCAAAAATGAAAGAAGTCTTTCCCTTAATAATGAATTGGATAGTATTGAAGAGGACTTTATTTTGAAGAGAGTCTTATGTAATTGGCAGACAATATTATAGAACATATATGGTTATCTGAATGAATAACAGTCATTTATATAGTAACATAAATTACAGCAACAAAACAGATGAGTTAAATGCTACGGATGCAAAAATAAAGGCATGCAAAGTAAATGTTTGCTGCTGGTTAAAAAATACAAAAATAAGGTTATGATAATAGTAATTAATTTTTTTTAAATGTCTTATAAATTTGAAGAGCATTTTATCATTTTAAGAATGCCATCACGCAAACAGCTGCATCATAGTTAGGGTTAAATATTCTTGCTTTCTTCTTGTAATGTTAACCTGGAACTTTTCCATTTCCTTTTCTTAACTGGGAATGCTGTATGTCTGTTCAGTTAATGTAAGTCAATGTTCAGCATTTAAAAGGATCTTTGTTTAAGCTGTTAAATACATTTTTAAATATCACAGATTCTGCTTTTGGATGTCATCAAGTATTTCTTCTTAAAAGTTGAATGTATCATTCCGTCATAGAAATGTTCTATGAACTGTGAATTTATGTTATTATCCTTTTTTTGTATCAAAACTTTTCAGCTTGATTAGCACATTGATAACAGATGAAAATCCTTATAAAATAAGGAACATTTGCATGATGTAAACGGAGTGGTAAATGTACACCAAGTTATTCTAGTAAGGCATTATGTGCTAGTGAATATTAAAGTTTTTTAAGGTAGTGTACTTCCCTTCTGTTTTTCTCTTTCTGTCTGCTGCTTCCCTTGATGCTTTTACAAATTTCTTGGTGGTTACAAAAATAACAGTTTATGTATGTTGTTGTGGTGTTATAATTCTACACACATCAGTTTCATTCCTTGCCATGTTTATTAGAAGGAAGTATTTTCCAGATTTAAAGACTTTAATGATTTAAATTGGGCAATTTATTGACATAGATGTATAGCGAGTTTTTTTGTAATTTTATCATTTAATACTTGTCATAAATAGCAGCGTATAGAATACTCACGAGACTATTGTGTATCTTTCTAATAATTTATTATCTTATTTTATGTAATATTTTATTATTTTATATGTTAGTTATAAGCAGATTTTGAGATTGATTTCTAAATATTTCTAAATTATTGAAGAATATAATAGAGCAAAATGACATGCAATATGTAATTATTAATATAAAGGAAAGAGAAAGACCTCATGCTGAGATTGCTGAGAAAATTAATACTGTGAACCGTCTAGTAGTAACCACCTATGAAAGTGATGAATATTTTTAAGAATATAAATACAGTGAAACCTTAGTTATTTGAATTCTTTCCTGAAGGCCATTTTTCATCTGAAATGTTCATAAACTGAAACTGTTTCTTCCCTTTAAGAATTAATGTAAAATAGATTAATCTGTTCTTGTATTATAGAACATATGTGTATTTAGAATTAACACCATGTAAGGTGTCTAGAATTAAGTACCTATTTCACAGCTGCCTGCGGATGAAATCATTCATCAGAAAATTGTGAAATTTTGTGGTGGACTTTTAATGAAGGGATGAGAATGTCTTTTGGTGAAAAAAAAAAAAAAATAGTTAGAAATACCACTACCAGAGGGCATTGTATTAATAAATTACTATTTTAGTCATACCTTTACAATAATTTTACAAATTTTATTACCCCCCTCAAAAAAAAAAAAAATGTTCTACATAATGGCCCGGACTTGCGACTAAAACTGGGTGGAGTGACAGTGTATAATAAAACATTTATAGATGGATATAAAGGAATGAACGATGTTGCTCCTTCGGACGACTATGAAGTAAACAAAGACTTGAGAATGGTACGTGACTGCAGGCCATTTTCAGTTTTCCTGAGAACTTCTAAGTGATCATTAGGAAATATTCTTTTTCCAAGAACTTCTGAGGTGGTTGTCAGAAAATAGATAAAGGCGTTGCAGCTGGTAGCAAAGACTGTAGAATGCTACATGATTGCAGGGCACTTTCACTTTTCTCGAGAATTGCTCATTAGGTGATGTTCATTTTCTGAAATCTTTCAAGGTGGTGGTCAAAAAATAGCTGAAGATTTTAGAGCACTTTTCAAGTGGTGGTCAGAAAATAGCTGAAGACGTTACAGCACCTCGTATTTACGACAGTACTTTGCACAAAGTTTATTAGCGTAAAAATAATGGAAATAACTAAATGTAAACTGAAAGCAAAAAAAGGTAAACACAGTATTGAAGAAATGAAATAGATGAAAATTGAATGTAGTTCGACAATGTTCAGTAAAACTGAGTAGATGATGTGAATGGAAAGTGGTGAAGAAGAGATGTTATTGTTTGTGTGAGAAATCCCCTATCTGGCAGTTGTCTTTCTGGGACATCTTATTTTCCTTCACCATTCTACTTGAGACTCACTGAGCCTTTGCTTCATTCATAATTTATCTAGGGCGATTTTTTGTTATATGCTTTTTAAAATAGTTATAAAATGCAGAACAATGTTGTCATTGAAAATGCATTGCAATGGCCTACTGCTGCTTTATCAGGGGATGTCATCACATGAAATTGTACATTGTATACCATTTTACATAGAGTTCATAGATCAAAGAAATTAAATTAATCCTCTGTTCATTCTGCTTTTACTGAAGACCTTTTTCTCATTGCTTTTTGTTATTGCTTTTGGATATATTTCAATTCTTTATTCTTTATTTATTTTTATGGTTTTCTACTAACTCCTCCCCTCAAACTCAAACCACCTTTTTTTATTTATTTAAAGAAAAGGAAATCCTTGTGCACCACAAAGTATCACATGAGACTTACAAATCATAAGCAAAAAAAGCAAAATTGTAAGTAATTACATCATTTTTCAATAATACAATGAAATCAAACACAAAGAAAAAAATACGCACACATAAAAAATATAAATGTATAAAGAAATCATTTACAATGTCAAAAATAAAAGTCAACGAAGTCGTCAAAAGCTCGGTAGGCCAAAGCTGAAGATACAAAATGATAACATTTCATCGGCCAATGAATTCCAATTAATTTTAATCTGCATTTCAATAGATTTCTTGCATTATCAATCAATGGGCAGTCAAAAAGCAGGTGGAAAACACTTTGTTGAACTCCAAGATTGCAATAATACAAATTGGAAGATGGCTGCTTAAACCTTTCAAGATAAACTTTGCGTAAGTTTGCGCAACTTTAAAGTTGAGCAATAAGTTCTTGCTTTTCAGTCTTTCAAAAATAGTTGGGAAGAATGCTTTTGTATCATTTCCTTTATCAGAAGAGATATAATCACAATTCCATTGCTCAATCATTTTAGCTACCCCAAACCACCTTTGAAAGTCATTTTAGCGGACTTAAATGTTTGTAATCGAAGATTATGTTTGCAATCTGAAAAGGTTTTTTTTTTTTTTTTTTTTTTTTGAGATTTTTACTGAAGTTGAGAACATTTGTGATTCGTGATTTGAGAAAAACTAGTAATGAACATTACTCTTAAAGGAACTATCTTCACAGAAGATCAAACTAATATGAAATTGCTGCTGGTCATTTTAGAGAAGGTTCACTGTAACTATAATTATATTACAGAATTATGTAGTGCTAGATTAAAACATATTAGGTTTAATTACATTTAAAAGGGTATTTTTCAGTTTATTTATAGTAAAACTTTTAGTGCTATGTATTAGTCACTTCAGTGTTTTTTGCATAGAAAAGTAAGATATAATAATACACAAGTTTGCTTTGAACAAATTTATTATCTTCTAATATTAATCATGTAATAAAACATTTTATGTATTTTCAATCAAAGAAAAAGAAATCAAGATCATCACGTTAAAATATTTCTCATGAAGAATAAAATAATATTTTCCAACTTTCAGTTTTTTTTTTAATGATGATTTCACATTTATTTCTGTATTTATTTTTCTAAAAATTTATTTATACTTAGTCTTAATACACACATGCATATACATACATACATATGTGTTATAATGTAGAAACTGTTGATGCAGTGGAGAACATGGTTTATAGAATGACATACACCCAACTCTTTTTTTACACAATTTTAAAATAACTCTGTTCATCAACAGAAACAAATTTGCTTTTTGACAAGAATTTTTTGTTCTAGCATGAATCCATCCCCCCCCAATAATTTTTTTTAAATTCTGGTTTTGACAATGTGATCAGAAGTTAGTATTAGTGACTTGATTTACTTCGACAAAGAATTTGTAATGTTAAGAACGAAAGTTTCACCAAAGCAGGAATGGCTTCGCTATACCGAAGAGAGGCATGCATTCAGCCTTATGCACATGTGTGAAATAGCTGTCGAGCAGGTGACGAAGGTCATGTTTATCGAGTTGAAACTTCTGACATATTCCCCCCCATCGAATCGACGTAAATTAAATAACTGACAAAACTGCGATATGGATCAATCAACAACAAGTGAAAGTAAAATGTCACTGAATTGCTAATTTCTTCCTAAGTAAGCTTCAATCTGTGTTCAAATTATTGCAAAAACTTTGTCAAAGAATGAGTCCTATTAATGGTTTGATTGAATGAATTAATTTGAAAAGAATAAGTCCTATTAATGGTTTGGTTTTTCATGAATTTGGTTTCATGTCATATTTTTGTCAATTTGTACACATGGCAATTTGGTGATGAGAATATAGCGGGACCATAAGGAAACTGGTTAACATTACGTCTATGCAACCTTTCCTTCTTTACATAGAGGTTCTTTGACTTCATGGCTTGCTTACTTTGTATTCCAGTGGCTGATATTCAAACTAAAGTATTTTTTAATGCTATGGTGCAATTTCCAGAATAATTTATATTAATGATAATTTTTTACTGCTGAAAAAGGTAATATTGTGTTAAATTTTTGGTTTAGAAAAGTTCTAGTACCCTTATTAATAAAATGCCTAAACAAAATCAAAATATTCTGAAGAGACAAGCAGTTTTGGTTAGACTAAAATAAAAATCTTAGACTGTCTAAAGAGAGTCTAAGGTACCACATGTGTTGGCAAAACTGTTGGTTTAAATGAAGCAACTATAAGAAAGTTAGAAAAAATGAGAATTCCATGCCACAATAAATCATTTCTGGATCAAAACTCAGTTCCAAACATCTTATAGTCGAAATCCTATCTTAGAGAAAATGGAAAAGTACATGGTGTTTTGGATAGGAGATTTATTGAAGGAAGGAATACCTATTGATTGAAAATTATAAAAGAGAAAGCACAACCAACTTCAGGAATTGTAAAGTCTTGAGGCAACGAAAAACAAATTTAATGCAAGTGAGAGGGATGGCTGACAGGTTTCTAAAAAGGCATGTATTTCACAATATAAAAGTAAAAGGAGAATGTTATGTTGCGAATTTCAATTATTAATATGTGTTTGTTATATATACTATGTTTCTTTTGTTCAATTTAGTGCATATTTTACTGTGGTCTGTCATGTCCCTCCATTTGTTTGAGCCGGAAGGCTTTTAAGAAACATGGAGTTTAATTGAATTTGGGGTTATTGATTTTTCCTTGGCATAGGTTACTCACAACGCAAACCTAAAAGTTAAATTGTACTACCACTATACGATTGATTGATAGATATGATATACGAATGTTTATAAGAATGTCGAAATGATATATGTTTATAAGAATGTCGAAATGATATATGAATATTATGAATTAGATTTTGAATGTGAATTATTTGATCTTTGATTTTTGAGTTAGTATGTCCGGCACCATGAATTTAAAGTTAAAAGTAATAAAAACAAAAATTTTCAGTTATAACATTGGTGCCGTGACCTCGCGACTGGCAGACCACTAGAATAATTTTTGTGTATATTATTTGAGTATTATTTTATATTTGATTTCTATTTTGTTTTTATGTGTATGCATATTACATTTTTTTGATTATAAATGATGAAAAATATTTTTGCGCTCACCTAGATATTTGATCCATTTATCATTTAGTTTAAAGTTTTGGTGAGAATAGCATTTGCGTTAATGAGTTGATTTTGCTATTGCATTTTAAATAATTACTTTGTAGATTTCTAATTTTAATTAATTGATTTAATGTCAGAGCAGTATTTTTGTGTTCGAGAAATAGTAATTTTTTTTAAACTTCTTGAAGTGTGTTAATAGATTTTATGGAATTTGTGCATAATAGAATTGAGTTAAAAGCTTGATTTTTGAATTTATTTTGGAAAAATCTGAAATGTTTGTTTCTTAAAGTTAATTTTGGTTAGATTTGTAAAGTTGCGTGGGACCAGTGATAGTTTACTTAGGGATTGATTGAATTTTTTTTTGGAGGTTAGTTTTCAGCGGGAGTGAAGTTTCTTGTTTAGCTTTTCTGAGTTTGAGTAATTCATTTTCTATCTAGTTTGTGAATTCTGTGAACATTTATTGCTGCTTATGAATTTGAATTCCATTTTTTTTAAGATTAAAATTAATTAGTTTGTTTTCTGGAAAGAATAGTTAAAGGTTTTTCTCAGTATTTTACAACTGGTTTGGTCGAGGAGTTGTTTGCATTTGGTGAATTTCTTTTAGTTTCGGTTTCGAGTTCTTGACTCAATAGTGTTTTGCGTTTAAGGATTTTTTCGGCTGGTCCGAATTTTAATTTCCTTGTTTCAAGTAAGTTTATCTAAATTTTTTCCCCCTTTTGCTTCTAGATGCACTCTAGTTTCTTTCGGCTTAATTTTTTTTTTTGGTCAAGTTGCTCTTTTCCGTTCCTGGGGGTGTTCTCCGTTTGTTTCAGCTTCTCGTTCAGTTCAGTGTTTAATTCTTTTAGGATTTTTTTGTCACTGTTGGTTGATTGAATTGTTAAGGTGTAATTTTCCCTCACTTGTGATTTTTTTTTTTGTTTTTTGTACTTATATTAACTTGTTTTTGCAAATCGATTTTATGACACTTCACTCCTGCTGCTGTTTAATTGGTTATATGAGTTGCATTTAGATTTTGAATTTAATTTGTTAAACTTAATGCTTTGTAAGTAAATTTTTAATTTTTTTATTTATCACTGCTCTCCATGACAACTAGTTTTGAGTTGATTATTTGTATGGTACTTAACTTGGTACTATTTTGAAATGCTGTTTTGTTTTGGAAAAAAATTTTGATGCTCAAAATTTTTTTCCCTGGTGCGTGGGGGAATATGTTATGTCGCGAATTTCAATTATTAATATGTGTTTGTTATATATGTTTCTTTTGTTCAATTTAGTGCATATTTTACTGTGGCTGTCATGTCTTTCCATTTGTTGAGCCGGAAGGCTTTTAAAGAACATGGAGTTTTATTGAATTTGGGGTTATTGATTTCCTTGGCATAGGTTACTCACAACGCAAACCTAAACATTACATTGTACTACCATACGATTGATTGATAGATATGATTAGTTTTATAAGCCTGTCGAAATGTCTGAATATTATGAATATTTGAATTGAATTATTTGATCTTTGATTTTTGAGTTAGTGTGTCCGGCACCATGAATTTAAAGTTAAAAGTAATAAAAACAAAAATTTTCAGTTATAACATGAAGTAGCATCAGCAGATGAAAATGCTACAAAAGGCTTTCTGGATAAACTAGAAAAAATAGTTTAGAATAACTCAGTTGAGGAAATAAAAATTCAAGAAATTAAAAGCTACATGAAATTCAAAAATAAGGTAAATGTAAAGTGTGTAAGTTACCAAAATGTTGTTTCTCTTATATTGATCTTGCACAGATTTGTGTAGTTTTGTTTATTAAGTCTTTGAAAGTAAATTGAAGTCTGTGAAAGTATTTTAAAGTCTGTGAAGAAAATACTGAACTCTTTTAATATAACTTATATTGTATATTTAATTATTGTAAAACTGTATATTTAACTTGTGAGTATTAAATTTTCTGTCTATTTTAATATAAAAAAGCATAGACAATATAATAATTATATGAATGTTTTCCAGTTTTGAAAAATAATGTGTATGTATCTGTGTTTGCTAAAGTATAAAATGAAAAATATTTTAACAGCATCAGCTTTATCAAGCTTCAGAGCTAATTGTTGAATGTGCTGGACCTTTGATTAAGCTGTGGATTAAACTGCTATTGAAGGTGTTAAACATTCAAATGACAGGAAATGTTAGTTACAGATTTCGAGACTCTGCAAACCAAGTTCACTTCCTGTTGGATATTGTTGCTAGAATTTCTTTATTGAATTCACATACAAGGAATACCGTTTTTGATCTCTTGCAGTCATTATGCAATGTAAGTTGCAGTCTATAAAAATTTTATAAATTTTCCTAATGGATAGCAGTATAGTATATTATTCTTTTCTGTCCTTCTCTCTGTCTATTAATTTGATCAAATAATTCCATTAACCCTCTCACCGCATACTTTTTTTTTTTATCAAAATAGGTTCAAAAATTGTTTTTTTTTTTTTTTTGCATATTTCAAACTACATATATTTTAGAGTTAAATATACAAGGGTTCGTAGCAGTCTTACATGCTTAAAAGTCTTATATTTAAAAATAAAATATAACGCTTATAGGTTACTTTTCTCTAAAGCATTTAATTTTTTGTTTTGTGCTTATTCTTGGCGTTAGTGTTTTTTTTTTTTTTTTTTTTTTAACGAACAACATTTTTCCTGGTACTTCCGTTTCGCCTGCACAACTCCGCCAGCGACTTTATGGCGACAACCTACAGTATCACATAAAAATTTAGTTAAGATTTTTTTATTTTAAGCATAACATTTAATCATTTCAATTTCTAAAAAGCCAATAAATAAAGACCAAAATTGTAAAAACATAATTAAGAATTTACTTCTTTATGGTTCCACATCTTGATCGCCGGTTATATCACAGACCCTATGATTTTATGCTAAACTACGCTATAAAAAAATCTAATTCTCTAGTAATTCTACTTAATTTCAGTTAACTAATTTGGATGCAAGAATTATTTCAGTTCGTATGAATAGCTTCTCAGAAATTGTGTAAACCTGTGTTTAACTTCGCTAAGCCATTCCCTTAGAATTGATGAATTTACCCTGACTGCCTTTCTATATTTTCGACTTCAGTGAGCGATGTTATGCATCCTAATACTTAATTCTGCGAATGCCCTTAGAGAATAAAAGACACCTGATCAAAGTCTATGTAATGGTATGCCAGTATTAAAAGAAACAATCGTCGGTAAGATGGAAATGATGTAAAAGTTACCCGCGGGTATTCCGTTTGATCAGTTGTACCATTATTGGCGACTTTATCGTCTTCGCGGCAAACGGAAAAGTCCTAAAAAACTTTATTCCTATATGGGATAGATGGTGAATCTACTCCGAAATAGCTTTGCCCCTTTCTCCACATTAATACCTTTGGTGCGCCGAGTACAGCAGGGCACGTCGTTCTATTAGTCAAGAATTGCGAAAGGGATAGAAAATTGATACATTCGTATTTTTGCTCCCACCCCACTACAATGGTTGAATTTACCAATTTTAATATTCATTCTCATCCGTGTGGTCAGTTCAATTCATGTTATTATTGATCGGTATGCTTATATGAGCATATGTATGAATATTTATAATAATCTATTTGCAGTAACTGCTGAAGTATAGATAAACTTCAAAAATGGCCAAGTGTGTTTTAACATAGTTTAGTTTTCTAAGGGATAATATTCGGAATGTCATAAATACAGTAAAAATAATCAAATAGATTTTTTTTTCGGCCAATGCATTATACAGTACTGAAGTTGGGGGTTTTCCCCTTTCTCCACAAAATCTCAAATATTGAAACCATTACAGTTTGCAGCAAAGCAAGCAATGAACTTTTTCTTTTTTTTCTTTTTTTTTGGGGGGGGGGTCACTTTCCAACCTGGCTTGAATAGGATTAAAAGTTCTGCGGCCTAGCAACCCAAGCAAAGAATGATTCTATTCCGGAAATTTAAAGTAATCTATTTAAAATTAGAATGAAAATCACCTCAGATTGGTAAATCTGTTTATTTATCAATATGAATATGGCAGGCGACGTGTCCTGTTCAATGATAAATATGCCACATGGGTGCATGATGGAGCAAAGGGGCGTTTTCCATTATTTAGTTATCTATTCTCCGAATACTGGCAGCTGTCAATTCCGATTGCATAATATCACGTGCTGTGGAAGAATTAAGGCTCACATATTGCACAATAACATTTGCAATATTTCACAGAGATAAAAGAGTTTTATTGTACTTGCTAAGCAGATTATTTTTCAGTTCCATTGGGCTATTTTTTATATGATGTACATATCGAAATGTCTAAAGTATTAGTTAGCCGAAAATCTAAAGAACAGCTACAATCTCCCCTCCTTCCTATTTTACTGTTTGCCGACTATCCGGAATTTCAGATATTTGGCAATTTCCAAGATCCGGTTAGTTAAGACTTTACTGTAAAGGATGCTGCTGAAGCAATTTCCCATCTCTGATTTCAGAAAGTTCTTTTTTTTATTTATTTTACTTAAATTACTTTTGCTTGCAATATCTGTTAAGGGAAAACTGTTTCAATGAAAATTTAGAAAATGTTCAAATTTTGATTTATTAAATTATTTTAAATTAATATGAGTGGAAAAAATAAATTATATTTATTTTAGGCCAAGCAAATATAATATGGCTTATTACTTATTTCTCTATTTTGAACTGAAAATTTTATCATTAAATCTTGTAATATAGAATTACATAGTTTTTTTCTCTTGTAAACTAGTCTGTAATTTAACTGTTTTTAAAAAAAAAAAAAAAAAAAAAAAAAAAAAAAAAAAAGTGATTTTTTTTTCTATGGTTGAGTAATGCTTATTCTCCCTTAATAAATACTGAATTTCTCATAATTTAAATTGCAAGTTTAATTTTTCTTTTAAGGTTATGCAGTTGTGTATAATGTAATTAAACATGTGCTTAATTTTTTCCTTAAAATGTGCTTGAAAAATGCTTATAGGTGCTTTTTTTTTTAACTAAAATGTGGCTACGAACCCTGTACAAAAATTTTTTGTAAAAGAGTTTTTTTTCAATATAAAATTAGATCATAGAAAAAGGTTGTCAGAATACTGAAATTGAAGAATAATGATATCAAAGGAAAATTTTGAAAATTAATATTGTTTAAACTATGATTTATTGTATAAAATACAAAGGTAAAACATATATACTAATGAAAATATTTGCATAATGTAATATTTTGCATATCAATTTTGCACCACTGTCGAACGTTTTCAATAGAAATGGCATTTTCAGATTCATCACTATCTGCAGAGGAATCCGAGAAATTCTCTTCAGTTTTGCTATAACTATCTTCAATATACTTGAAATCAGAGTCAGAATTACTATCAGTGTTGGAAATATCGTTAGGAATATAGGTTATATCACTCGTGAAACGCTTCCTGCCAGACATCTTTGAGCTCTGAAAAGCGCGTGCAAAATGCTGCATTACATATTCTTGTATATTTTTCAGAAATGTGTACAACTAATGCCATCTGTTAGGCCACATCTAAATAAACAATTAAACATCACAGAAAAGCCAAAAGGAAACCTTGAATGGGGAAAGAGAGAGTTGCACAGTTAAATAGATGGCAAAATTTCATCCCCGCGGAAATTGCGCAAATTTTGCTACTTTTATGTTGCCCGTGGAAATTGTGGGATATGCAGTGAGAGGGTTAAAAATTTTACTTCTTGTAAATCTTTTTTTAATGTAAAATGTTTTGTCTTGTATCTTTCTTCATTCATATTTCATCTCAACCTGGCTGGAAAATTATGATTGTAGGTTGAACTATGAAAACATTTAACAAATTTTTATATAACTAGAATTTTTGATTGTAGAAAAGTATATGTATAGTTTCATATGTCTTAAAATGAATAAACTGTTTAACATAAAATTTTGCATGCTTTCAAAAGATGTTATTTGATCACCATTTCTCATTTTTAAAAATTGTTTATTAGAAAGATATTAATAGGAAAATGCTAACCTTTTATTGAAATGTATTTAATTCCCATTATGAGGTCATTCCCCCCCCCAAATTTAATTCCCATTATGAGGTCAGTTTCATTGATTCTCAGTCCCATCCTGGCAGAGAATAAAAATTTATACATGTGTAACAAGATCAGTGGACATAAGTCATGGTTTTCAGAGCTCCTGATTTCAAAGCAAGTTGAAGTAATTGCTTATAATTTATTGGATGCATTTTTATTGTTTTGGGCACCATTTATTCTAAAGTGTGACAGTGATAGGGAATTTACAAGTAATATGCTGAGCAGCTTGAAGGAATATTGGCCAACAATGAAAATTGTCTATGGTAAGCCTTACCAATCACAAAGTTGTTAAGTTAATGTCAAAAGAGCTAATTAGGCTATTGAGAATATTTTAAGTACTTAAAGGCAGTATAAAAAATACTGACTGTTGGAAGGAGGGACTACATTTTATTCAACTTATGAAGAATAGGGCACATTCTGATATCAGAAAAACATCATATGAAGCTTTGTTGCATATCTGAGATTGGTCTTACATCTTCCCTATGTCAAGATATTTCACAAGATATGCAGATTGAGAAGTAGCTGGAAAAATAGTAAAAAGCATTCAAGCAATACAGGAAGTTGAAACCAATCACCCAGTGCAAGAAAAACCACTTGCATGAAAAATGGATAGGATTGTAGTTGATGATGGAAAAAGCCAATGTAGCAATGAAGACATGTTTACCAAGGAAGATTCTGTTTCTGCAACTTGTTTAAGGAAACCAATGGTACATATGTTTGTGGAAAATGTTGAAAAATTCATAGATTCTGCAGACTGGTTTGAGTCCTGGCGAGGGCATTGCTCATTTTTCATATCTCCTGCTTTCAGAAAATACTTAATGTCTACAGCCCGAACTAAAAAAGGTGGTGGATGATGATTCTCTACACCAGGATTTGGCAATAGGTTCACTTAATCCCCAATCACCCTTTAAAAATAGGGAGTATATTAGGTATTTTTCCTGCCTTCGTAGCATGCTTTCATGGTGTAGTGGTCAGCACACTTGACGTGTATTCGAGAGGTCCATGGCTCAAATCCCGGTAAGAGCATTGCTCATTTTTCATCTCTCCTGCTTTTAAAAAATACTTAATGTCTCTACAACCTCAGGAAGATAATAACCAGGGCTGATGGCATAATCTTTGTAGTTGCACCAAGCAACAGAATTTTTAAAGTTTGGGAAGCCACTGAGTAATAAAATTTTAAGAGCTGTGGAAATTGCACCAGGAAGCAGAACACTTAACAAAAGCCTTGCTATTAACAACATAATTTTAGTGTAAAATCATGCAAATGACAACCTTATGTTTGGCATAGATTTTAATCAAAACTCTGTCGATTTTGAGGACAATCAAGTTCATGTTCTTCTTTGTCAGGAGCAAAAAATTCTGCTTCAAGTTATGAAGGTGATCAGGCAAAGGTAATTTTTCATCAAGTTAAAAAATAGTCCGCAAAGAAGAGTGGAAGGACAAATGTATTTATACCTTTTTTTTTTTTTTTTTGTATAAATACTGTCACTTTTACCCCCAAAAAATATTCTTTTTGAGGGACCATTATTGAAATTGATAAAGTTCTCATTAAAATCTATACCAAATGTAAGACTGCTGTTTTGATTAATTTTAATTTTACATTGACATATTACTTCTTTTGATTCTTTTAGTATTTGAAACTTCTAACTTACCTTTATGTATTCTTTTGGCATATAAATTGTAAAACATTATCAATTAGAGCAATGTTTCCTAACCTTTTCCCTCTTATGAACCCTTTTGATAATGTTCAAGTTTTAGGGAACCCCAGCATCTATGTAATATTTTTTTTAAACATTCAGTTCGTATAATTCTAAATATAATAAGATATAGATAAATAATAAATTTCTTTCATTTAACATTTTATAACAAATATGAATGTGAAATTTGCACTTTTTTTTTTAAGCACAAATGTTGAATTTAGGGTCTGAATTTTGATATACATATGCAGATTTCTCCCACAGAAAGGAAATGATTTCTATCCTTATCCTTAATACTTTCTAAACAAGAAAAAGTTTGTTCACACATGTATGATGTTGAAAATTATGTGTAATTGAAAATATTAACAAAAAGTGGAAAATAAAGAAATTAAATTTTAAGTACAAAGGGATTAGTTGCTTCGATAGAGATAAAAATGGACAAAACAGTTGTTAAATCATACCTCTTGCCCTTATAAAGAGTAGAGTGTCATCACCTAAGTGAACTCAAAGTGGAAAAGTAAATTTGATGCTATAAGCAACTTTAGCTCAGTCTTTTAAAAATTTTCAGACCATTATATTGCACTACATTATTTTACCATGCATGTAATATTTGATATTCGTGCGATCTGGCTAACATCTGCCATATTGCAAAACATAAGATCTTTCTTTTATCTTCCGTATGGCATGGAAAACAACAACAATTCCAAATTTTGCTATTTAGAGTCACAAAAGATCTTTGGTGTATTGTTCCAATTATAACTACTTAACAACCTAGCAGTATAAAAGTGGCAATTCTTAAAATCATTCAAATTTTTATCTCTCTTGTTAGTAACTTATCAAACTGAAATAATTTAAAATAATTTTAACATTTTATTTACAATTTATTGAGCTAATAATTGTGAGCACTTTCATCATTATTTTTACTGATAAAGGATGTTTCTAAAGCCATTATGTATATGCATCTTTTTTTGTGTGGTTGCTTTTTTTTTATTTTTTATTTTAAGGTTTAGTACATAGAGTATTAAAACATTTGAATAATTGCATGATATAACATTTTTATATTTGATTTGACACCAAAATTCAAGTTATTGAAGTTAAGATGACTTTAAATATAAAAGGTCTCTAAAAATTCGTGTTTGTTAGGGTTCAGAGGATTTTTATTTCAAAAAATCTCTAAGAAATTAGAGCTTTCCTATGTTTGTTGCCTCTGAATTTGGTTATATTTTATAAGATAGGATCTGAGGAGCTATTACTCATTTAATGAGCGTCGCATATTGCAATAACTTTTCATCTCTTCGGAAATGGATTGATTGTATTTTTAGTTGTGCTTTTTTGTATCCTGTACAGTACTTTTTGTTTTTGAGAAATGTCATAATGTTTAATTGGCATAAAATTACTTGTTACATATCTGTTAATAACTTTGTTTTTAGAAATGTAAACTGGTGTGCAAAACTTAAGCAACAATGTAAAAATTTAGCAGATAGCCATGAAATTGCAGAAAAGGAGGTCTGGAGATCAGTACAATGAACACATAAGTCAGTAGAAACGTCATGCGTATGCAAATATCAGGAACAAAACGTCAGAGGCGACGTGAGCGCACACAAAACGCGTGATGTGGGTGCGTACAGCTGAACAGTAGAATAAAAGGAAGGACGGAGACGCAATTCAATATATTCGCTGCAAGTGCCAGTAAGTCAGTTTGTGAAATATGGCTAAAAGAAATCACCTGGACGACTTCACACGTGGAAGAATGATTGGAAAGCCGGAGGAGGGCCTTACTGTCACCAGTGTAGCTGCAGAGTTCGGAATCAACAAAAGTGTCCTTTCACGTGCTTGGAAAGCATTCCAAACCACAGGTACAGCTGTTAGAAATGTTGGTGGTGGCCGCCCAAGGACGACAACTGCAGGGCATGACCGATATATTGTTCAGCAGGCGAAAAGAGGCCGACAGCAGTCAGCAAGCGCCATTGCTCAGCAACTCTGTACAGCAACGGGGCGACGAGTGTCACGATTTACTGTGGCCAGACGCCTTCACAAAGGAGGCCTATTCGCCCACTGTCCTGAACACTGTCTCCCGTTGAATGTTGCCCACCGACGCTACCGTTTACAGTAGTGCAGAGAGTACAAAAACTGGACAACTGATCAATGGAGTCGTGTCCTCTTTATGGATGAGAGTCGATTTGGTAGCAGAAGCGATTCTCAACGGGTTTTGATTTGGAGAGAGGTCGGGACCCGGTTTTATCGCAGTAACATCAAGGAAAGACACCGTAATGGTGGTCCTGGAGTTCTTGTCTGGGGAGGTATTATGCTGAACGGGCTACTATGGGATCAAAACTACTTTTTTAATAAGACAGATTTAAAACCAGTAAATTTTCTTCTTAATAATTTAAATATTATATTATTTTTAATATATATCTAATATAATTATGAACATTTACAGCATTATTATGATTAAAAAAGGGCTTTTCTGTTGTCATATATTACATATCTGAGTGCAGAATTATTTGGCTTTTTAATGTCTAGTTCTTGTCAAACTATTTGCTTTTTAGATTGAACTTGAATTTTTAAATTTTATTTATAGCCTCTGCTTACCTCTAATGTAAGTCCTCAACCATCAATTTGGAACAAGCTGTTTGGTTCAAGTAATGTTGAATGTTCATTATTAAATAAATTGACTTTACCTGAATATCCATGGTTAGCTTGGTATGTTATATTAGCAGAAAGTAAGCAAAAACAATCTGAAGAATTATGGAACTTAATTCAAGAAGAAATGGTTAAAGAACCTGATATGTCTCCAACAACAGCACTAAAGGTATGGAGAAAATAATTAGTATTTATTATTTTATAATAAATTTTGTAATCTTAAAAAACAAAAATACCAGTTTAAATGCAGAAAATTATATTGCACCATGAATACAGAGGATTGGCTGGATATTGAATATTTGACTGGATTATTTTACTGTTTAAGGTCTGTTTATTTTACTGTCTGCCTACCAGATGTAATATTTCCTTTAGTTCACTTCTATATAATTTCTTTTATGGATAAATTTGTGTAAAAAAATATTATTGCAGACTTGCGTAACATTTTTTTAAAATTCCATTTGTGATATTATTAAAATGAAACTTAATATAAAAATTTGTAAAATACTGTATTGCTATAAATATAAGCTAACAATTTAAATTAAATGATCTTGTTCTTTTATTGAACTTGAAATAATTTCTTAAACTTGAAATAATTTTATCTTGACCCTTAATTGAATGTTCAGTTTTGTACTTTTGCTATGTGAAGTTATTTTATGGAAAATCAAATTTTTAGAAATAATTACTGGTTACTTTTATAAATATTATCTTTGTAGATAATGTTAAGTATCTTTGTATTGTGAAAAATGAATTGTTTTAAAAATTAAAAGTATACGTAACTTTATATATTTTTTATTTTTATATTTTTAGAAATCATGTGCTTATCTGAAAATATCTCCGCCACCTTTAGAAAGTTTACCAATATATCGATGGGGGAAGCAAGCATTAGAAATGCCAGTGTCGCATCCTGCAGCTCCATTAATATGGCAACAGTTTTTCATGTACTTTTTTGAAAAAGTGCAAAGTTCTGAGTAAGACTTCATTTATTATCAGTTTATTTTAGTTAATGCTGTATATTCAAATAATATTTCCTTTATAATTAGCATAATTATAAAGAAATTTAAAATTCTTAATTTATATAGTATATATGAAATATATACGCATGACTTGTAATAGCTAGTGCATAGAAATCTCTCTCTCTCACTCTTTTTTTTTTTTTTTCTTTTTAAAGAACCTGATTATTTTTATTGCAGTAGATTTTGTATATAGGGTAATAAGATATTATTGCAGATTTCTTTGCTGCTGACTTAGAGGGACCTGTACCTTCTTGACCTCGAAATTGATTGAGATCTTGACATAAATCTGTGACAAACTCAAGGTTGTTGTGTTGCTAATTTTTAATAAAATATGCTTTACAACTTCTGAAAAATTTTTTCAAGTTTAATTTTATTAATGCGGATAAAAAAACTATGTACATATGGCTGCTAAGATGTAAACATGTATAAACAAATGAGATCTATAAAAAAATGTGCAAAGATTCACCTAATTTTCTAAAATAATCCTTGGAAATTAATTTGTTGATAAATTTCTCTATATAATCACCAAGTCATCAAGTGTTATATTAAAACTGGTTCAGTAGTATAACCAAAACATGAAAAAATTTTCCCTTATCTGTGAGTTTTAAATCAATACATATATTTTGGAATCTTCTTGTAAGAGAGATTTCTCAATTTTTCTCTTTCTATTTTTATTTTATTACATTTTTTATTTATAACCCTGATATTGTTAGTCGATTAAAATGGAGGTGTCCTGTATTTTAATTTAACTTCTATTAAACTTACGTTTTTATCTCATATTCTGTTTTATTCACATATTATGCCAATGACGAGATCAGGCATCTGACCCTTTTATGTCAACTACTAATTTTTTCCTGCTTCTTTTTAGTACATTAAGTTATATTATTATAAGTTATATGGTTAAGTAAATCCTGGCTAACTTAGTAGCGCATACCATGAATAGTTATTTCATGCAAAACTAAAAGCTGATCGCTATGTATTCAGTCAGCATCTGTATTGTGACATTAGCCTACTTTCGGGCAGATTTTTGATCCTGTTCCTGCAAAACTTAACTGTTTAAAAAAAAAATATGCTGACTGCTCATTCACTTTGATTTCATTGATAAAGGGCATTTCATTGATACTCTTAGCAGTCAGAAAAAGTAGCAGCAAGATAATGGCTGTAGAAAGTTAAGGCAAAATTTCTCAGCGTACTCAATTAATTTTTGGCTGGTTGCTGCAACTGCTTGAAGTCTTGTCAGTCAGAAAGTGGATATCGGTGTGTCACTGGATGCTTTAATAACAGGGCTACCACGCTACCTGGAAAACTTTAAAAAATCAGGCAATTCGAAACTTGATCAGAAAAGTCGGGGAAAAGTCTGTGAATTTCATATGACAATTCTCTATAAAGCAACTTTTGTACCGCATTGGAAGCAGATCTCTTTCTTGGCAAATTATGTATCACATGAGCATCATTCGGGTAAACCTGTGTTCACACCAACGCATTCATGCATAAAGTGTTAACCAATCAGGAGTGAGTTCAGAGGCGGCATTTGCTGGATGGCCAGAGACTGCGCGAGTTGACTTAACTTCAACTTTTTGACGCTTGCAGTTTCAGGCATCTCGTTTCAAAAGTCCAGTTTATACACTGGTTTTTAAATGATTGCGTTTTTAAAATTTCTTCTTGATTTAAGAATAAGGTCAAAGGGACTAATCTTCATAAAAATTTCAGGTAATAATAAAAAAAAATGCACATGCTAATAGAATAAACAGCTTTATAAATTATTTAAAGGAAAATTCTCAAGTTTATTAGCAGTTATAAACCGTAATAATCAATCATAAATGATATATGGTTGATAATTTTTACAGAATAATCTAAAGCAATAGATTTTTACGAGAAAATAGTGATGGATTTCAAAATCCCGGATTTTGAATTTCTCTTAAAATATATTTACATCAATTTAAGGTTGCTCTAGTTGCTTAGTGGATAAAACGGTGGCTTCTTGAGTTAAAGATTTTGGATTCAAGCCTCACCAGGAGTGGTTTTGTAAAGGAGTTGGTATTTGAAAAAAAATATTTACAGAAAATATTATCGCTAGTTTCAGAGTAGCCAAATGTTTCTTCAGTTTCCTGAATGTGTAGTGTGAAATGCATGCTTTCCCGCAATATACCTTAGCGCGGAGGTAACACGCTCAAGTAGAAAATTCAGCTTTTCCTAGGGACTTGTATTGCAGGTTCGGGCCTTGCTTTTTTTCTACCTTTGATTGATAATACGAATACACATTTTTTTTTTTTTTTTTAAATCTACTGCGACGTTTTTTTGAAAGGGGTGGGGGGGACACAAGAACCTTGCATTTATTTTTCATTTCATTTAATTCATCATTCATGTAAACCTAATTTTTGCTTGGCATTGTGTGCGTTATCCTTCTTTTGACAATGACCCTTTGGTATAATTCATAAGAAAATCTCACTTCTATGATCTGATTTTATTTTGGCTGACACAAAAAAAAGCAGCAAAAGCAATACTGATATTAGTATAAAGTTGCTATTTCATATAATTAAAAATTTTAGTGAGTTCTGTATTTTAAATGAGTGGTGGCAAGTAAACCATTTGTTTTAAAAATTAAGAAACTGTTATTCATAGAGAAAAGAAGCTCAGTAGTATGTAGCTGATTTTATGGAAAACTTCTATGCATTTTAATGGTTTCATGTTTGTTTTTCATAACATACATGACCGTTTTTTGAAAAGTCTTGATGATAATCTAATCTTGGTTTAATCTTGATGATAATTTTTCATTAATTTAAAGATTTTTTGCATGCGCATTAGCAAATTTGCTAATTGTGGATTCAATTTTTAACGCAAGTATTATATAAAATATAGTTACTTCAATGAGTTTTAGATACAAATGACCTTATAAAATAAACCTTTACATAGTGGTTGTTCATTAATTTATGAATGACTAATTGAATAACTTTTACATTTAAGGTAAAAAATATGTACATAAGGCAGAAACTAAAATATATTTTTTTAAAAAATTGCTCTTGCTTTTTAACTTAAAAATAACTGCCTTTTCTTAAGTGCGATTTTTAATTTAGTAATACTGTAAATTCTACATATATTTAAACAAAATACACTTTTTTATTTCATTGTTTAAACCAATTAAGGGAAGTTTATTTAAGGAAGCATTTAAGGGAACTTTAAAACATGCAAAATCATGTTTAAACATCATGCAAAAGCATTTTATGGTATTCTACTCCATGAAAAATTTACTCTCCAAAATAGAATCATGCAATTAGGATTTCTTAATTATCATTCAACAAAATTCAAAATTAATTAAATTAGATATATACAGTATTTGATATATTGTAATAACCTTTTCTGGTATATCCTATTCCTATCTTCCAAACGATTCTTTTCTGCGATATTCTGACAAAAATTAGTGTTGTGCTTTAATGAGGGCTAGAAATTCATAGAATTAATGATGTGTCATGCGAAAGTAATTAAAAGAAATTTCTTTTTGTTCAAGCGCATTTCTTCAATTAAATTATTTGCATTTCCTTGCTGCAGTTATCTCTCATATATTAATATAAACCACTGCATTCTGCTTCTCTTATGCAACGTGAGAAGTAAAATAATTTTTAATCAAGCAGAAATTAAATCCATTTTAATTTAAAAATGTAATCATAAAAAGTCAAAATACCATACAAAAATTTCATGTTTTCCCCAAGTTTCCGATATGAAGCACCATCTAGTGTGAGCATATGACAACTTTTAAAGCGAAAGTTGCCGCGCTGCTGTGAACTGACATATGCGAAATGCGTTTTTCCCCTCGTTGCCGCTTTTCACCCCAATGGACCAGTGTGAACGCAACTTAACTGTCAAAGAGCCAGTTTTCACAATGCCAGCCAGTTTGTCTGTCACAGAAGCAAAGCAAGTTTCCAGTAACCTACAGATACCAGAGAGTATGACTTGCATGTTTTTGAATGAACAGGAAATGTTTCTCTCTGTGGTTCAGGGTATGTGAATGAAAGAAAATTCTGCCTTTGAGGTTTGGAGAACTCCAACTTTTGATAATTCGTTTTTCTGTTATCATCTCCAGTTAAAAATCTGGTAAGTGAAACTGTATAATCTTTTAGACATCATTAAATAATTTTTTAGTCCAAAAGGGTCATTAGTTTCAAAACAGTATTTTGCATTTAATCACTATAAATGGCGTATAACTTTTTATATTGTTGCCATAAATTATTATCACCCTGTATTGTATTTAAAGAAATTAAATAATGAAGAATCTGCATAAATGTATGTTAAATAATGAAGGATCTGCATGAATGTTTGTATGTTTCTCACATTGTGAAAAAACAATGGTGCCCAGAAACCCGTAGTTCTCTACCTGAACATGGTCACGAGGAAGACCGAATTTTGAATTTAAAATTTGCTTTATTATCTATTTTGCATTTTGTAAAACTTGAAGGAATTTTTTTTTGTTAACAAACTCAACAATTTCAAAGTGAGCAGTTGCAACACTGTAAACATTTTGGAATCATGGAAAACATGGAAAAACATTTTTCTCTCTTGTGTGCAAGGCTGTCTATTGGAAATCATGAAGATATGCTGTTTTTAAATATTTTCGGATTTTGCTGTTGAATCAAATTTTATGTGGTGTAAGCACCAGGAAAAGGATATTTCTTCTTCATCGTAAGCTCCACAACCTGTTACAGGCCAAGGCTGTCTCTCCAAGTTTCCTTCACCTGACCCCATTTGGCACAATAGCCTTCCAATGGTTAACTCTAATTAACATTAAATCTTGCTATCATCATATCATAGTGGTGTATCCTTTTGTCTTTTACCCTCAATTCTCAAAAAGGTTATTTTTTGGTTGGAAATGCATATAATCTAAGCGTATGGCCCCGACTCTGATAGAGATGCCCTTTACAATCTCACAATAATCTTCACCACATTTTTAATATTGCATTAGTTATGGTAAAAGAATCCAATGCTATTGGTCCCAAAGATCTTAGGATTTTTCTTCAAAAGTGTATAGTCTCTTGCTCTGTTAAGTACAACTTCACTTTGTAAATGGCAACAGCCTTATTAAGTTTTATATAAATTTAATTTAGTTTTTATGCTGATCGTCGGATTTAAATGTTTAGCCATAGCAACATGTATAGCCATAAATATCTATTCTTGAATTAGTTTTAGATCATTGAATTGTGATTCAGTGGCCAGATATTTAAAAGTTTTACAGTTCAAAGTATAACTTTTATTCAAAAGGGATATAAATACGTTTATTGATGCATCATAAATTTTGTTTTGTCTTCATTAATGATTAGGCCCATCTTTCTTGATGTATTTTCAAGTGAAACAAAA